CCCCAAAACCCCAAAACCCCAAAACCCCTCTTAAGCCAACTTTATATATTTTAATTAAGATAGAACAAATAGGGACCAGGACAATGTATCTGGCTTATTTTATCAAGATTTTGATACTTGAAATCTTATTTTTGACATGCCTAACAACCAATACTGTCAAAGGTACCTGTGGAGGGGCTTTCGATCTCAGTTCTAGAAATGATATATCTTCTTACAATCGCAAAAGGAGGTTAACAACAACAGCATCTTCAACTTATAGCCAAGTGTCAGGGACAGGTATTCTTGAATATCATATTTAGGAATTGGAGAAGCTATCTTATTTCTAAACCTAAATGTAACTGTTCAAGCCAAAGATTCTTCAGGCACAAATTTAACCACTGGAGGAGATTACTTCTTATTCAATGTAAATCACATCTCAAATTATAGGTATTTAATCAGTGTCAAATAATCACTTTCGGTCAATGCGAAATGAATGCTGATGCATCAGATATGCAGCTGAGTCCGAATTCTCTCTGGATGACTGATAATGGAGATGGGACATACTCTGCACAATATACTGCGTCTTTATCTGGAAATGCCACTGTTTTAATCTATCTTTTGCAATCAGAAGCAGCTCATGCCGAGATATACAGAGGTGTGGCATTTGGAACTGCCAATACAACTATAGAGTCATGGTCACAAATCAATAAACAAATCGCTGATATCAGCACAGTTTATGGAGATACTAAAGGCATCTCCATGTCTATCTATTTCCGTGTTATTGGACCTCACAACGAGACCATAGACTTTCAAGTTCAAAGTGAGGACGGAGTAGATGTTGAGATAGACGATACGAATCAGATCAACAAGCTTGGAGAAACCTGTTCTCCTTGCCTTTACAACTTCTGTAAGTATTTTTCTCTTAGTTTTTAGCTTTATCCATGACTGATGATAGTTTTATCAAATTCAAGTAAGCAATAAAACATAACCTCTAGGATAAACTACAAAAAGAAGACAGGCAGCGCTGATGTTCAGCTTTTATGGAAATCCACAACACTAGGAGCGACTTATGTTTTAGTTCCGACTGAGTATATTTACAAACAAGAGATGGTCAGGAACACTACGTATAATTGTGAGATCAAGTGCCCACCCTATCACTCAGAGACTCACCCAGACCATACTGGAGAGTGCTACGAGATTTGTGGAGATGGGTCCAGGGTTGGAACAGTAAATAATCATCTAACTTCTAGGAAATATGTGATGACAACAACACCTTATCTGGTGATGGCTGAGATAAGACTTGAAGAAGTATTGAACAAGGCTACGTATGTGAACGCATGGGAGGTACATTCTCATCAGATAAATGTGTGCTTTGAAAATATGGCTATGAAGTCAATGACCTACAAAATAAGTGAGTGCAGACCAAACTCGATTATGTCAGTGATCTATTAGGATTTCTTCCATTCTTATTTATAATTGTTGACTTTGCACTAAATCTCTTGTATATACTTGCCAACAAAGCTTCAGTAAATTCTCTATTTATAATGATAAACTTTTGACAGATGTGTTCAATCTTGGTGTTATTTGATGCAAGTCTAAATTACAAGATCCTCCAATTTCTTCAGAAACTTTCAATGTTGTTATTCCATTTTGGAGGAATTTCAAGAGGCCCTTTTGCATCATCAATTCCAGGTTGCAATCAGTACACTAGGAAATACTATTTCTGACTAACAACACAATTGATTGATTTTAACTCAAGATCTGCCTGGACAATGCTTTTCTATCACTTCTTGTTCTTCATGATGATCCTCATTTTCCATGGAATTGTTGCATGTCAATATTATAAGAAGAAAATTGAGAAAGACGAGGTAACATATTCATTGACTTTTAGCAAAAAGAGAAGGAAATTGATCTAAATACTTATGAGAAGTGGTTCAAATTGACCTCCTTTTCAATGTACTATCCTATCTTCAAGCCTCTCTTCATGGCAATGGTTATAAGTTCTTTTGTTGAGGTCTGTAGCACATTCTTATGGGACGGAGTAAACTTTGGCTCGTTTCTCTTCGCTTTTGCAGTCTGGATTGGCTGCTCAGCTGTTGTAGGTATCTCAGGGTGGCAATTCTTCAAATCTCAATACAACTTCACCTTTCAAAGGATGATATATTTCAGACAACTATTCAATTGACTGAAAGTTAATTGGCCTTCGAGAGCTCACCCATTCTTGTTCTTTGCAAGAATTTACTCGTTTGTGATCACAATTGTGATTGGAAACTTCGGAGGGCAGAACATAATGATTTATATTATCCTGATTCAATGCAGTTACATCGCTTACTTAGCTGTCGTGAGACCTTTCTATCATAACAAGTACAATATTATTTTGGTGATTAACGAGCTAGCATTTGTCGTATTGCTTTGTATGACTTTACGCAGTAGAATAAAGACAGGTCTAGCTCAATCTGTAGAGGGGATGTTCATCATAATTATCCTAGCTCCTTTAGGAGCCTCTGTGGTTGTCTCCTTGGGTAAGTGCCCAGCTTTGACATTTAGGTGCCATCATCTTAATGATGTTAAGAAGATCATATGACAAAGTTCTAGACAAGCGTGCTCTTCAGCGCCAGAAAGCTCACCAAAATCCTGATTTAGCAAAGTAAGATTTCTTTTAATTTTCAGAGTGAGAAAGAACATCTTCGATAACCAGATTGAAGTCTCTAAAGTCTCAGAAAGCAGTATCTCAGAGAATGATCTCCAGAGCGAGAATCAGGCTAAAAAGTTCCTTAACACTGATAAGCGATTCGTTCAGTACAACCATAAGCCGTTAAGGTCTCAGAACACTCAAAAATCTGAGAAAAGAGTGGTAAAAATGGTCAGATATCCTAAACCTCCAGCCAGGTATGATCTTGGGAGTTATGATTAAATCCAATGATGCTTTCAATACTTATTAGTCATAATGGGGTTTTGGGGTTTTGGGGTTTTGGGGG